AGCTTGCTCCTTTACCTACCTGGAGAACACTGCTGATCTAGCAGATCTCCTAACTGTTCTGATTTCCTTCTGGATCATTTAGATAATTAAGCCCCATTTGATTTACCCAAGTGTGTCATTAGTCTTTCCATAAATCCAAGGACGCTGTTGCTTTCACATTTCTCCATCCACCACAGGCACCATGATCACAATTTTACTGTTTCCTTCTGATTATCTGTGGTGCCAGTATGTTCCCTGCCCAGTCCACACCAATGTGGAATCACATCATGGGGAAACTTGTTCATGTGATTCCATAACAAGTGGCATCACTTCCTAGCACTGTCCCTTTCCTTCCTTCCCCACCATGCACAGCTACTCCCCACCCACCCTCCAAAAAAAGAAAAGAGTAACTGCTGGACACTTGCCCTTTACCAATGCTCTAGCTACAGGCCTCTTTAAAATCTTAAAAAGCAAAGATGTCACTCTGATGACTAAGGTACAGATTCCCTTGCCACGGTCTTTTCAATCACCACATATGCATGAGAAAGTTGGATAATGAAAAAGAAAGACAGCTACACAACTCAAAGGATGTCATCAATGTCACTAAATGGTACCTGTAGATACTGTTGAATTTCTGTATGTTCTGCGTGTATATACCTACTCCTCACTATCTCATTATCTAAATTTTGCATTTACAACATCACTAAAAAAAAAAAAAAACCTACTATCTAACAATTCTGCGCATTAACAGCATATATCTGGCAGTAACAAATGCTGAAGTGCCAGGCAAGAGTAACACTGGCTGTGAAGGTCAAGGTTATACATCAACTTGGTTGGGCCATGACTGTCAGTGCTTTGGCAGTTATATAATGATGTAATTAGGCAGTTATGTAATGATGTGGTCATCCTCCACTTTTCCATCTGATGTGGTCCTCCTCCATTTTTGCATAATGCTAATTTTCACATAATAACTTGGTCTTTGGAACCTTACCATGTCAGTGAGTAAGGAGTAGGTGGGTGTACTCTCGACAAGAATTAAATTAATAAATAAATATTTTATAAAAGAAAAGGAAGACAGAAGAATCAAAATATTTAAATTGTGATGCTGGCAAAGAATATAGACTATACCCTGAGATGCCAACAAAACCGACAAAAGAATTAAAAAATATAGTCAGAATGTTCCCTAGAAGCCAGGGTGGAAAGACTTAAAAGTTGATTACTTCGGAGACATCATCAGGAAAGACCAATTGCTAGAAAAGCACACAATGCCTGATAAAGTAGAGGGCCAACGAAAACAAAGGAGATCCTCCGTGAGATGGACTGACATGATCCACAACAGCGGACTCAAATACACCAAGGATCATGAAGATGGTCCGAGACCAGGCAACATTTGGTTCTGTTATACTTAAGGCTGCTATGAGTTGAAACCCCCTTGACAGCTACTAACATGCTTGCTGACTACCAAAAAAAAAAAAAAACCCCACTCCTGTAGTCCATTAATTCTTATCATGTTATATTACAGCCAATTCCACAGTTTCCTAACATCAGAATCTCCCATTTTGCATTGTCTTGTTTGTTTGTATGGTAATAATGCTGCTTTCCCTCCACCTGAACATTTTTTGGATGGCAGATGGGGTTGAAGTAGGGTTAGAGCGTGGATAACAAAAGTAGGAACAGGAAAGTAGTATGTTAATCCTGGAGCTGTGAGGGTGAGAAAGAGGGGAAAAAACTTCCTACAAAGTCTAGTCAGGAGCAGGGGAGCTGCCTTTAGAGTAAGGGCTAGGTACACACAGAATTATTTTCTCCCCTTTTTGGTAGGTGCAAACAGTTAACATGTTCAGCTGCAAAATAAAAGTTTGGAGGTTTAAGTCAGGTTTGACTTCTGGCCTCAGGAAAAAAAAAAAGCCTGAAAATCCACTTCCAAAAAATCAGCCATTGAAAACCCTACAGAACACATTTTACTCTGACACACATGAGGTCGCCATGATTTGGAGTTGACTCGACAACAACTGGTTTTTGGGTTTCCTTCAGACCCCCATAGCTTTCCAATGAAGGCACCACTCTGGCTCTGGCTTCTTGGCCTGCAGTAGCTTACCTACCACCCTTAGTCAAAAGCACATTTTCCCTGTCAGCAGCACACAGTGGGACATGGAAGGTTCAAGGACTGCTACCCACCATCACAAGTTCAGGAAGACAGGACATTCTCTGTGCCAACTCACAGCCAACACAACCCTAGGAGGAAGCAGTGCTAAGGACATACCCACTAGAACTCAGAGCCAATGGGAACACTGCAAAGACAAAGACCTAAACATGATGGAGAGACATAGAGTTAATTCTTCACCTTCATGGTTACCACGTGCTAGTAACTTCTAGATGCTATTCCATTAATTCCGCAACACACTCTGTTGACCATTATCTACTTTAAAAAGTGAGTAAAACAAAATGAGGTGAATATTTACATCAGGTAGATACATTCCTTGGAACAAACAATTGTGGAAGAACAGAAGGGCAGGGTTTGCATAGGGAGGGGCAAGAGTGCACGGAAGGGAAGGATACAAGGAAGCAGTCACTAGGGGGAGGAAGTGGGAAGAGAGCTGTTACATTGTGAGGAATTGTAGTCAATGTCATAAAACAAAATGTGTATGAACTGCTATATGGAAAAGGAATTTGCTTTGCCAACTTTCACGCAAATCACAATAAAATTTTTTTCAAAAAAGTGAATAAAACAAGGCTCAGAAAGGTTAAGTAACTGTCACAAGCTCTCACCACTAGCTATGGCCCACCACCCATGTTCTTTAGAATGTAACACAGCCAACCCCCCATCTCTCCCCAGAGGAATGAGGGTCCCACAGAATGGGATGTGGAACACCTCAGGGAATGATTTCCATCGTGACCTCCGGAGAAAAGAGAAACAACAAGATCCAGGGGAAAAAATTACTTTCCACCATAGCCTGTTTCTCATAGGACGTAACTGAAATAATTCACATCCGGCAATGATGATACATCTTATCTGGTCAAGTACGAGGAGGGGGTTTCCTCTTTAGGAAAGTTTGAGCAAAAAATAAACATAACCTCTTTCTATCTCTGAGTGGTGCAAGCATCAAGAAGACACACCTTGGTAGCGGTTATTTTTTCACACCCACTGGAAAAAATAATCGTCTACGTTTAGCTTAGTGGCACTTTCCACAGGGCCATCATTAGGACTGAGGTGCACCTTCAGCACCTTGAAGACAAAGGTGTGCCTAACCTAAGCCATGGTCTTTTCAATTGCCTCACATTCATGCAAAAGCTGGACAATGGATAAGGCAGAGCGAAGAAGTAGTAATGTATTTGAATTATGGTGTTGGCAAAGACTACTGAATATACCATGCACTGCCACAGGAATGAAATCTGTCTTGGAAGAAGTATAGCCAGAATGCTCCTAAGATGCAAGGATGGTGAGACTTTGTACATATTATCAGGAGACATCGGTCCCTGGAGAAGGACACCATGCTTGGTTGGTAAAGTGGAAGGCCAGCAAAAAAAAAAGAGGAAGATCCTCAAAAAGATGGACTAACACAGTGGCCGCAACAATGGGCTCAAACATAACAATAATTGTGCAGACGGCACAGGACCAGGCAGTGCTTTTTGTTCTGTTGTACACAGGGTTGCTGTGAGTTAGAACTGACTTGACGGCATCTAACAACAGCAACATCAACTTATTAGGCAGTGTCAGGGCCAGTTCCGGCTCAGGGTGATTAGATCAACCTCCAGAGGCCTCCATCCCACAGCCCCTCACTCACATCCTCTCTGACACCTGCCTGAGCAAGAGAGAATGGGGGTGGAGAGAGAGGGGATAAGAAAAGTGGAGAATCCATCTAAGATTAGCAAATAGCAGGCATGAAGGTATATAGGAAAATATTATCTTTGGGGACAACAGAAATCTAGTTTCTTTACATCATCAATCTGACCCTGGGACTAGAAAAGTAAAGTGATGGACATATGGTGATAACAAATGAATGAAAAAACAAACCCATTACACTATTCTCTCCATATTTACTGCTTCTGATGCACAATGCTCAAAACACTCTGTTCTGTAGGCATGATCCTCTTCAAGACTGAGAGCTCCAAGAGGCAGCAAAGTGTAGGGCATTCAGCCCAGAATTCAAGTTCAGCTCTGCCTCTTACTCACTGTGTGACCTTGGGAAATGTACTTTATATCTGAGTTTTAGAACCTTCCTATGGAAAAGAAAAGCATTACCTACCTCAGGGCTGTTGTAACAAAAATGCAACTCCATAGAAAGCATTTTGCACTGAACCAGGTACGTCATGAGGGTTCATAAATGGTTATTTCACAGAACAGGAAGCAGAAACCAAAAGGAAGCCAGTGTTAGCCCAAAGTGGTACTGAATTCAATTTGGACAGGTATGGGAGGAGAACAAGGCTCTGCAGGAACCCCTTGAATTTAAACCAGTTCCCCCTAAATGTGCTTTCAGGAACAGAGAATGAGAAAGGCGAGGAAGCAATAAGATGAACATTCACCAGGAATGATGCTCGGAACTGCAGGTGCTCTTGTCCTCCTGTTTTCTGGGACCTGAGCCGCAGAGAGCCTGTCTTTGCAGAAGCCACAGGGGGGAGGCACAAGTGCCTGAAATCTGGAGCCATGCTGGTACCATGTCCATTTCCAGGCCTTGAGAGAGACCCTCGTCCCGAATCCCACTTCCCTCCCTCCACTCTATCAGTCAGTGTAGGTAAAAAAGAACCAACCAACAGGGTTAAAAAAAAAAAAAAGACCCAAAGCAAAAGGAGAAGGAAGAGTTTGGTAAGAAGCTGAGTTTTTACCATGAGTTCTCCAATGCTTGAGAAAGACCCTAGGGCCCCTCAAGCCACTCTGACATGGGTGCTCTCCCAAAAACATTTCTTGTTTGACAATCATCAGGGAGGACAAGGGAGCCAGGCCCTGGGGCTAGGGAGAAGTCAGGGTAGGAAGAAAAAGTGAGGGTGGAAAGTTGTGGTGAGAATGGGACTTGTGCAAGGCTTACCTGTGCTGTTCCACAGCCTCATTGTCAGGAAGCTCGACCCCACACACGCTGCACTGCTCGCCCATGGCCCGGCTCTCCGACTTCATGCCCACAGCCAGCTCGCCAAGCTTGTTGAACAGCTCCCTCTGGATGAAGCCCTGGGGCAGCAGCCCCCCATAGGTGCTGAAGTCCATGGAGACAGCAAGGGCAGGCTGCATGTGGAGGCCAGAGGTCACAGAGGATGGCATGCTCAGCACTGAGTCAGCCTTGTGGTTGGGCAACACAGAGTAGATGCCCAGATGTTTCTCAGCTGAGGTCACAGAGTGCTCTGCTCGACCAGCAGGGCCCTGGCCAGCCTCAGCTGAGGGTGGCAGCTGCTCAGCAGTCTCCTCTCGTCCATAGTGCAGCTCCCTGGCACTGGTGATGACGCTGCTCCGAGTTGGGGTCCCAGGCCCCTCTTTGCCCCTTTCCTCAGCCTTGTCCCCCAGCCCACCTGAGATGCTGGACTCAGCTGCCCCAGGGCTGTCCTGGCTGGGCACCTCATCCACTTGCATCATCTCTGTCTTCACTTCAGCCACCCCAGTGTGCCGCCCACCCCCAGCCAGGTTCGGGTCTTCAGACCCTGCAGGACGCTGAAGAGTTCCCTGCAGGAGAGACTGACCTATGGTCATTAAACTGTCCACTGCAGCCTTGGTGGGGCTCATGGCTGAAAGGCCAAAGGAGGTGGAGACTGAAGGGCTCTGGTCCACCATGGGCCCAGGGAGGCTCTGTCCAGCCACACTGGCATACCCACTCTCCTCGCTGGAATGCTTCGAGATAAAGATGTTCTTGAGGTACCGAGCCTTGCGGTCCTCTTCTTCCTCAGCCCCACCATCTGCCATGGTGGCCTCAGTGTCATTGTCATCTGAGGCCTGGATGGTTTCCAGGATCTTCAGGCACTGCTCCTCTAGGTACTCGATCTCCAAGATCTCGGCCGCATACAGCAGGTCATCCAGGTCCTCTGCCTTGGCTTGCAACGTGGCTGTGTATGCATACTCCAGAATCTGCTGGAAGGTCTTTGGCGAGAGGAAGTCCAGAGTATAGTGCTGACTGTTGCGGTGGAAGAGGATCTCAAACATCTTGCTGGTGCAGGCCAGCACCGTCCGGTGGGCATGAAACTCTTGGCTGTCCACCATGATGACCACATCACACAGAGTTCCAGCCAGCCGCATCTGGTTGGCCTTGCACAGGAGCCCTGTGGGATGGCTAGGGTTCTGCAACTGGATCATGCCCATCTTCGTCAGATCCATGGTGCTCCCTGCGGCTCAGGCATGAGGCTCTCTTTCCTTCTGAGCTTTGCGTGGCGGGACAAGGCAGGTTTCTGGGGCCAACTAAAGGGGCTAGAGAAAAGTAAAGAGGAAGAGACAAAAGAAATAGAAGAGTAAAAGGCAGATTAGTTACTGTTCCTCAAAGTAAAAATTCAAACAATACAACACCCTCCCTCCTTTAATGGAGGACAGGAACAGGAAGAGCACCCAAGAAATCTCCAAATCTGCCTTTATAAACCCAGGGATGATGAGTAGCAAAAATCTTATTCCACCAGTTATGTGGTGACAGTTCTGCCACATCATATGTCTAATTTACTGCTCTGTGACAACTGCTACATCGAGTAAAATGAAAATTACAGTGGAGTCCTGTGAGCTCTGGGCTTTAAGACAGAGTGGAGGACTCTTGTGCACAGCCAACACTCACTACAGGGAGGTGCCCTGCACTTACGTAAAATTAACAAGAACTTAAATCCTCACTTTAGTCATCCTAAACATTCAACTTCACTCTCAGACCCCTGTACAGTTCACATCATCTTCAAAACAGTTTTTCTAAATCTTGCCTCACTGTGGTAGCCCCAGAAGCCAAGTCAAGCTCAGCTGAGGCTACCTGCCAGCAGCACTGGCCCACAGAAATCTAAGGGCAACTGGGCTCTCCTCCGTCAGACCCACCCTCTCAACATCAGCCAGTCCCTTCCTGTGCCAGAACTCGGCAGCCAGTCCTTCACTCCTCAGGGTTGCAGAAAACTGGTAGACCCCTGTCCTGGCCCCTTCCTTGGGCACTAACCAGAACACACTTGCACATAACCCATATACTAGCTTGTCACTACTTTAGGTCACTTCCACCCACGTTATTGTGGTGTGCTGTCAGATCTATTTCAACTCAAAGCTACCCTACGGGAAAAAGCAGAACTACTCTCAGGGTTTTCTGTGCTGTAATCTTTATGGGAGGAGATCACCAGGTCTATTCTTCTGTGGTTCAAACTGCTCACTTTTGGTTAGCCGCTGAGCGTTTTAACCACTATGCCACTAGGGCTCCTTCTTCCACCCATAGGTTCCTCAAAGTTATGTGTTATGGAGTATATGACCCAAAATACGTGTGTGCATACACCTGTGCAAATGAATGCACGTGCACTCACTTAATGTGAAATGCTGCACTTACCCCTGTCCACAAGTGAGATCTGAAAAAGGGGGGAGATGGGTCATGAAGGCAGGGAGCAAGAGCTTAAGAAATATGTACCCCTATAGCCAGGGGTGCACATGCTGGGTCTGTGAACTCCAAATGTGTCCACAGGCTCCCAGGAGTGGGCAAGTTCTGACGCTGTGGACAGAAAAGTCACTGATACCAGCATCTACCTGACATTGTAATCAGGAAGGGAAGACAAGGCTGGGAGCCAAAGGTGTCTCCCCAAGTGCTGCTCGGGATCATTAACAGGGCTCTAGGACTCCCAAACCCGTTTGAGGAGTGTTAAGAAGACCTCATAGGAACAGGTCGCTCCCAGCCTCTCTCTGCCTTGTTGTGGCCAGTATTTCAGTGAACCAACTGGGAGCAAAGAGAGCCAATGTCTCTGCCTCACGCTGAGAGCACTGCTTTGCCTCCGCCCTCAAAAAGGAGCCCTATTGGAACCAGAGCCACAAAGCTCACGCAGAAAGGGTTAATAGGACGACAGGTCAAGACACTTTTGCCGCCACCATGGGATGGGGACCGAGGGCCCGAAGGGTAGGATGGCTATTCGTCTGCACCTAGTCACCCGTTCGCTTTCTGCAGCCTTCGGGATTTTAGAGAACTAAGAAGGAGCAGCGCAAAGAATAGAAGCTTGGCTATTCAAATTCCCTCCAAAAAGCAAGCTCTTTGGGTCCCGAAGGAAATCAGGGTGGCCCTGGGTCAGACATCTCTCTCAGCCGCCGCCCGCAATCTAGTCGGCACTGCCTGCAGCGCCAGGCCCGGCGGCTCGGGGGAAAAGCCGCCGCTCGCCAGCTCAAGCCCTGGGGATCGATTTTGCTCTCACACACACCCAGTTCCCAGCGACCCCACGGCGACTTGGAGAAGACTTAAGCAAACTTGGAGATTCAACTTTTCCTGAGGAGCCAAACAGCAGAAAGAAAGAAAGCGGGGCAAGGACGAAGGAAAAGCGAAGGAGACGGGGACGAAAGGTGAAAGTCGGGCGAGATGGACGCGGTGGCGAGAGCAGCAAGGAGGCGGACCCGCCCTGAGGCTACGGGAAAGCACAAAAGCCCCGCAGCGAGTTGCGGAAGGAAAGCCGAGAAGGGATCTGAGGGGCCCCCCTTCTCCGACCCCGGGCCGTGACCCCTGGGGAGCGATGAGCCGGTTCCACGGGCTCCGGCGAGCGGGCGCCAGCAGCCGGCGTGCACCGCCCGGGCGCGTCCGAGCGTCCCGGGGAGTTGGCGAGCGTGTCTGTGCCGAGCGCGTCGGTGCGTTTAAGTGGGTCCAGGGGCCGGCGCGATCGTGCACCTTTCGAGCGCACGGGCGTCTCTGTGTGCCTGCCTGCGCGCGAGAGAGTGTTCAAGGGGCTGGGCGAGCGAGCCGCGGCGCGCGAGGGTGAGGAAGGCATCCCGAATGCATCAGGTGCAGAGCCAAGGCGCCCACCGAGCGCAGCCGGGAGCGCACGGCGAGCTCCGGCTCCACGGCCGGTCCCGCTGAGAGCCGAAGAGGGCCCGGAGTCCTACAGAGCTCGGGCACGGCTGCCCCCAAAAGAGGAGCATCGAGTCCGGTCAAAAAAAAGAGCCCACCACGTTTTTCAAAGAGAAACAAAACCCAAGCGCGTCCCAGTCCTAGTCCCTCTGGTCCCCAGATCCACTCCTCGGATCCTAGCTTCCCGATCGGCCGGCGAATAAACACACAAATAAACGACAATCTGATCTCGCGCCCGCGCACGGGTTCCATACATATGAGCACCCACCGGCTCCCCGCTCCACCGCCTGCCCCCGCCTGCCCCTGGCAGTACCAGGCCTCCGGATCTCCAACCCTCCGTCGCGACCTCAGCCCCAGCAGACCGCGCAGACCCCCACCTCTCACCCCGACACTGCCCAGGAAGAGAGGGATTGGGGAGGCAGCTGCGCCCAAGCTGACAGCCAGGGCTCCCCCTTCTAGCCGACCCTCAGCCGGCGGCGGCAACGGCTGCAACAGCAGGAAGGGGGAAAACCAACTAAAATAAGGCACAAGCCCAGCAGCCGAGTGGCCGAAGAGAGCGCCCCCCCCCCCGCCAGACCTCTCCAGCCCCGGGGCGCTGTGGCGCGCGGAGCTCATGGGGCGGGGCGCCCCTCCCCGGCCCCCCACTCACCACTGCTGAGTCGGGCGCTGTGGGGTGGGTGTGCGTGCCTGTGGGGGGTGTGTGCTGTGTCTACGAAGGGTGTTCCTGGGGAACTGTTGCTCTCGATATCACGGCGGCAGCGGCGGCATCGCCCGGCAGTTCGCAGTACCCGCTCTCATCGCCCTCAACTCCTCTCTGCTGAGAGGTTAGCAAATCACCACCGGCAGCGGCGCCTCCGCCGCGTCCCACGTCAACGCCGAGCCCCCTCCCCTGCGAGGCCCCGGCGCCTCTCCATCTTTAGTGCTGGCGGCCGAGCCC